CAACATTTCTAAAAAATGCTTTCAGCACCTTGTTGAATCAATGCCACGTAGAATTAAGGCAGTTCTGAAGGCGAATTGGGGTCAAACACCGTATTAGTATGGTGTTCCTAATAATCCTTTAGGTGAGTGTATATACACACATACATACACACACACACACACACACGGTGGATTATCTCGAACATCGCTGACACAGAAGCACCATGCTGCACAAAGCAGCTCTCCACAGACGAGAGGAGCACCAAGTCACCGAATGCGGCTCTGAGCCCACTCTGCTCTTCAAAACTCCAGTGTAGCAGGTTCTACTCAGGAGACTGAAGCGAGAGAGAGGTGTTATTGCACAGGTGTGGTCTTTATTGTGTGGCTGCAGGCTCACTGCATGTCTCACGGGGGGGGCGGGGTTGGCCCATATGGCCTAAGAGACCCAGGTGCGAGGTCAGCATTTTATCTTCAAGACCTTAGAGCACTGCTTCGCAGTCCAGTCCTCAGGGACCCCCAGACAATCCACATTTTTGCTCCTCCCCCCCCCACACACCTATACCAGGTATTCAGTGTTCTTGATTGGCTGGGAGCTGGGGGGGATAAAAAATGTGGACTGTCTGGGGGTCTCCAAGGACTGGGTTGGGAAACACTGCATTACAGAATTGTCAGGAGCGGAGCAGTTCCACAACGCAGCGACAGGTACCAGCAGGAATGGCACCGGCGAGTACAGGCACGTCCTGAGTAGAGCTCCCCAGCCTTGCAAAACACACACAAAAACTGTAAACAAGAGACGCTGCCTGGTACATTCTGTGCCATCATTCTCCGAAACAGCTCCCTGCACGCTGCTGCAGTCCGCAGTGTCTTATCAGGCTTCATCGCCAGACACTATTAAGCTGAATCCCAGACCTGTTCTTCAGACCTGCCTCCATCTTCCCAGCAGACATCTGGCCCTGTCTCCCAGAGCTTCCTGGGAAATGAAGTCTGTACTTTAAATCAGTTCTGACAGAGACCAGTTTCTTTCCTCTCTGCCAGCTCTTAACCTGGTGTGTTCCAATTCCTGGGGGGGGGGGCTTCCAGGGCCATGCTATGGGACCATCACCAAAAGACTGCAAACCCGTTTCACACAGACACTCAAGTAAAGCACAGCACTGCGTCGGACAGGATGAGGGCAGGGGTGGACGTCACGGTGACACTGCAGGGGGGGGGGGCTGCTTCCACTCTTTGTCAGTGCTTGTTCCATGTGGGGGCCGCAATGGGCCCCTGGGAAGCTCTCTCCACCACGACAAACTCCTCCGGGTTGTTGAGGGCCTTGTAATGGAGAAGCAAGTCCTGAATGGCCCTCTCCTCGATCTGGAACATGGAGAGGTCACAGAGGGGTCACAGAGAGGTCACAGAGGGGTCACAGAGGCGTCACAGAGGGGTCACAGAGGGGTCACAGAGGCGTCACAGAGGCGTCACAGAGGCGTCACAGAGCCAGCAGTACCTGGATGAGCGCCAGCGGTTTCTCCCGGCTACGGCACAGTGCTGCCTCCTGCTGAAGCTCCTCCTCCACGATGGAGGCGAAGGTTACCATGGTACCCACGGGCGGACTTCCCACTGCCGGCAGCACCCAGGGGCTGATGGGAGAGGACAGCCGGGGGTGTCAGCTCAGGATGGGGCAAACACAGCAAGACCTTCCAGCGAGATCTCATTACCCCGCATGTGGTGCTCTCTCAGGCCTGATCTGGGGAGAGTCACACCCTAACAGCCAGCCTCATGCCCACATACACACGCACACACATGCACACACGCGCTGAAGCCTAGCAACATGAAACGCATTTAAATTAATATTGATTGGGCCATAAGCAGATTTCCCAGCTCTCTTATCTGCCAGTGACCTGAGAATTAAGGGCTAGAAGTGTCCCTGACTTGCCGCTACATAAACAGCATGAAAACAGAGAGCCCCCTGCTGGAGATAGTCTGTAACTGCAGCTACACAACACAGCCAGACAAATATGCTGCACTACTGCCTGCATCCCCAGGGTGGGTGTGTGTGACCCACGGCTCACCCAGCTGGTCTTTCCACTTCTTTCATCTCAGAGCTCTTAAAGGTCACTTTCCTGGCAGAAGAGCAGGACCCTCCTGGACCTTCAGCAGTGGCCCTGACCCGCATCTCCTCCTCTACCAGAAGGTCCCGAAAGGACTGGGATGCCTGGGGGGACTGGAGAGGTGTCGCCCTGATAGCAGAGATGCAACACGGCCATGGTTACTGGTGAACCTCACTTTGAATTTGGGGGCATTTAATAAACTGCATTCATCGGATCACAACATACAAAAGACCAAAACACGGCTACTTAAACCTACCATGCTCTCACGGTCTTGGTGGGGGTGGAGGTGGGAGCAGGGGAGGACTTGACCGAGATGCTCTCTGTGCTGGGCTCCTTGGTTGCCATGGCAATCATCTTCCGCTGCTTCTGAGACAGTTTCGGCGGGAGCGAAGAGGACTTGGTACCACCTCTGTCGATCAAGGGGAATGAGGAGACCGGCATCACGGGTGCCGCTGCTGGTGACCTTGAACATGCCCAGAATCCCTCAAGAGAGTAACCCAAACACCCTCCTTCAGAGCCCAGAGGCCCAAGGATGAGCGAAGATGAGGCCAACTTACGATCCAGGGCTTTTGGGCGGAGTCTGCAGGTTCCAACAACACGCCTCCATTTCCATGATGGTGCGCAGGTCCAGAACAGGAGGCGGCTGGGAAGAACTGGAAACGGATCACACGTCGCCCATTAAATACTGGTCCCCAGGCAACATAGCTGGGTTACCTGATAACCTGAGGTCCACCCACCTTGGTCTGGGTCTTGGAATGGGCTGGGGGGCGGAGCTCCTGGCAGGGGGGGCTACCCGGGATCCCCCATCTGGGGTTTGAGGTGGGGTCCTCAATTTCAGGACACGAGTTTTGTCCTCCAGCTGCACAAACCGAACCCAGAACCCAAATCAGAACCGGAGCAGAGGGCTTTTCTCTGCACCAGCAGCGCGTGGGGGCCCGATAGCGGCACCATACCTGGAGTCCATCCTGAAAGATGGGGGAGTGGAGGTCACGGGGGCTGCCCACCCCTGCGTAGCTCCCCTCCGAGTCTGAGGTCAGCAGCTCCTGCAAGGACTCAATGGAGCTGGTCTTGCCTGACCTCACCAGACCTGCAGGGGGCGACACTCATCTGATTCGATGCATGCATACCTTTACGCCCCTTTCAAATCCGAACTGCATCCTATCGTCTCTGTCCGACGTTCACTTTTTGATGATTGTGTCTTTATACTATAAACGGAATGTGTCTATTTTCCTCCGCCTACTGATAGCATTTAACTGACCAATAAAAAAGATGTTTTATGAAGTCATCCATTTCATTAATATTTTTGTATGAGTTAATTGTATTCATGATGGATGTTTGTATAGATTACTTCATATAGCTAATCTTAATGTTATTTCCTAGATAGCCAGCTAACATAATTGTTAATTGTGAATATAAAGCGAGATTCGTTTGTATCTTGTTGACTCTGACATTTGCCTCACTGACAACAATCACCATAAGTCCGTTCAAAACATCAAACCCTTCACTGACGGCTGTGTAAAGGCAGGTTTCTGATGCGGTGCTAAGGGTGTCTCATTACGTTGTTCTAGGTTAATTTTGTCAAGTGCTTACTAAAGAGATTTCATCACACTGCTGAAATAATGGATTTTTGGAGATGCAGGTTTTTCATTGGACAGTGACGATATGTGGTGTGGCGCGGTGGAGATGCTCAGCTCAGAGGGGTATAGGGTACCTGCAGCGGGGGGGCTATGGATGATGTCTGACAGGTTGTACCCCCCCGAGCTGTCGGACCGCCGGCGTGGCTTCCGTTTTGCCTTCGCTTTGGCTTTCTTCAAAAGAGTCTCTCTGAGAAGAATGATGTGGCACAGGTGATGTGAGAAGGAGCCTGGATTGCACCCCACTTTAACTACAAAGCAAAATGTTCTACTCCTGAACCACAGGTTGGGAGATCTGAGGAGTATGCAGCGTGTCACAGGGCAAAGGTCACCAGAGGTCGCCATCATTGGTGAGTGATTGGTACTGCATACAGTACTAGTCAAAAGTCTGGACACACCTAGTGAAAATTATTTTGTTTTCAACAAGATAACTCTAAGCACATCTCAAGGTTGTAGTAAGTATTATCTTGTGAACATGGAAGGAGATGGTGTGCTGTGACAGATGACCTGACCCTCATAATCCCCCCCCCCCCCCCCCCCCCCCCCCCCCCCCCCGGCCAAAACCCTTTAGAACTAGTTTGGGGTGAGCTGGATCAAGGAAGAACTTTTGCCCAGAACTTGTGGAAACTCCTTCAGGCCTATTGGAGAAGCATTCCAGGTGGCTACATCTGAAAGCTGGTTGAAAGAATGCCAAGAATCTGTAATGCTGTCATCAACGCTAAAGGGGGCTGTTTTGAAGAGTCCAAAATTTGAGAATATTTTGAGATGATGAACACTTCTCATGGTAATTGCAGTATTTAATGAGCATTACTTCATTGCCTCGTGGTCTTTTACTATAAGGGGAATAACATAGCTAAAATAGAGATGGATGCGTTAATAGCAGGGATGTCCAGACTTGACTGGTGCTGTATCAGTGCAGGTGTGTACTGAGTCATGTGACTAGAGACTCACCGGGAGGTGTGGTCTATCTCCGTGCCGCTGTCCGTGTTGAGAGAACAGTCCCAGTCCTCATAGGCGTTGAGGTCAGGGCCGTCGGGGTAAGGCGTGATCAGACGCTTCTGCATCGCTGGAATCTAAAGGCAGGTTGTGAGAACGACAGCATGAGTCACACAGAACGTGGAGGAAGAGGAGGAGGAAGAGCAGTAAGGGCTCACCATGTCCCTGTACACCGCTGAGAGCTCAAGCTGCACATCGGCACTCAGGACGTCCAGGGCTCTGAGGACAGACACAGGGGACACGAAGCACAGAGTTCACATTCCAGGTCATCCATAAAGGACCATTATTATATCTCATATTTTGCTACTTATTTTATTCTACTTAAGTGTTATTTACTGTTAGGAGGCTCTGAGTCCAAGAAATTTCCTTGCCAGTTAATGCTGTTCCATTGTTATCTATATATGACAAAAAACTGAGTGATTCTCACTTGGTCTCCAGCAGGGCGGCCATGTTGAGCACGATGAACTGCAGGCAGGACAGTTTGAGCTGCTGGGCATTGTACATTGCTGCGAACTCCAGCAGCTCCGCCACGTTCTTCAGGGTCACTGGGGGTGACATCACAGTACATCACCCAATCAGGCTCCTCCACTGGCCTGCTCAGAGTGACAGCAAAAAGACATTAAGAGTCACGCGCAGAAATGGCCGTGATTATTGCCCGACGACTGCACCCCAGCGCAGGAATGAGGCCCTAACTCCAATACCCTCACATCCGTTTGACCCGGAAGTTAACGGCTCAATTTTAACAGTTCTTTCAGGTTCGCTACGGACTGGGAAAGGATCTGTCTTCACAAAACCACGGGCAGCCACCACGGGCCACATCTGACTGCACGAGCCACATCTCGCTCTGTGGCCGCGAGGGAACGAGGAAGTGAACGTGGAAGGTGGTACATACGGTTCTCCACGATGGTCACCTCACAGATCTCCTTCAGGCGGGGGATGAGAAGCTGGTCGGCCACGACCAGGACATTGCACACAAATTCCACGTTCAGCGACTCTGCGAGCAAAGATGGGGGAGATGGACATCTATTATCACGTGCATTTAACTACCAAATATATAGAAGGTTGCTGGTTCAAGTCCCTTCTGGGGCTCTGCTGCTCATTCTGGTACAATACAAACTACATAACTGGGTTCATTTTGGGCCGGCTAACGAGCAAACGCTGTCCTACACATGGCTGGTTAAACAGATCATTGCAGTTATTCTCAAACGTTCTATGTCACATGCCACCTTAAAGACGATTTTTACTTCGCTTTTCCGTGTGCGCTTTCCGTTGCGTATGAGGGGATGCAACTTAAATTTCATCATCGGGGTTTGGCTGTGGACAGCTACAGTACGCGTGTAGCAGAAACCTTGTGCATCCAAGTACAGGTGCAGGAGGACTGATTAGGTATTTCCGGGATTGTTGTATTTATGGTGAGCAGCTGTATGGAGAGGGTAGGAGGTATCTCCATATCTAATCTGTCTTACTTACACTACACTGAGGTAAACGGTATTTCTAAAAGCAGCGTGATTCCGGCATATTCTGGAAAGCTGGCAATAAAATTCGCCAAGCGGATCAGGGGCGAAGGGGTCCTGGCTAATTTTGCCTTCTTACCGTAATACCGCCCAAGCCTAGACTAATAACTTTTGTGAACAAGTTTACCCGTTTCACTACACTGCTTGTATTTGTGTTTGTTGCAATACATCTGCCCTCTCCTGGTCTGGTGGAATATCACAGCTGTGTGCAGCACCGACCGCGACCGTCCGCATCCGCAGCCGAACGTGGTACGAACACAAGCTGCCGCGCACGATGGTCTGCATCCCGAAAGTGAAGTATAAACTACTCTTCAGAAAATATCTGGCTCTCCGTGACCAACCACTGTAATTAATGTTCAAAAATATAAATACCTCACTGTACCACTAGAGGGAGCTTGAGTACCACTGGAGGTACAAATACCATAGTTTGAGAAGCACTGCAGTACCAGATTATCCTGTCTTTTCCTCACTGGCATAGCGAACGAAATCTCGTATATCGAGCTCTGATTTCATGGGCAGCCTTTACCACCATGACAACGTACATAAGGACACTTAAACACAGGTAGAAGTCCGTAGGTGGCTTTTCAGGGCAGAACCGTCCCGTGTCCTCATACACACACGGCCCCATGTCCAGCGCTCACCTCTGACTGTGGCTGACTCATCTGTGTACACATACTCCAGGATGACCTGCAGGATGTCTGCCTTAGTCGGCATCACCAGTGCAGTGCAGCAAGAGGCCTGCAGGGGGCAGAGTGAGGTCACACAACAGAAACAACCAACTGACAGGATGGAAATGGTCCAAATATGAACTCAAAGAATAATGCAGGAATATTCCTAAAGAGTTCAAGTGGACTGGAAATTAATACACCTAGCAACTGACTGAACTGGACTTTAACAAAAAAGGGTAACACTTACCTCAATCCAGGGGTTTCCCAGCATGCTGTGGAAGTACTCTGTAAAGGTAGACCACACCAGTATAAGAGAGATTCCATAAGAGGCGTGCACACACGCGCACGCACACAGACACACACAGAAACTCACCAAGTCGCGCACACAAGACACACTTGTGGCACGGGAAATCCTTCCCATCTTCGGACCGCAGAGTAACATCACAGAGGTAGGAGCTGTGGTTAGAGCGAGGGTGAAAACTGCAATGAATTCTGGGTTACAGTCACTGTCCTAGACTGAATTTCTCCCTATGGTGAATCAGAGAGGCTCACTCGGCCCCTCCCACCCACGGCCATGACGCTTCAGCCACACCCGTCTGCAGGCCTCGCTGACCCTCTGGTCACCTACCATTTCTTTGGGTTGAATTTCAGCTTGTTTCCAGACTTCTTTTGAACGACGTTGATCCTTCCGTTCTCATATTTCACTCCATCCAAGCTGTAACGGTCAAACAAACAGATCTAGACAAGTTTAAACTCAAATGATAAGTGTTCTGCTGTGAAATGTTGAGGTATCATAAGACAAGGAGTGTTTCTCAATATGCATACTTGACCGTACTTGTGTTCACGTGCGCCTGTTTGACGTCATCTTCCATTACCAAAGACCAGTTCCAATAATCAAGAACAGAAGTGCAGAGGAAGGTAAAAAGCCCAGGATGCCATTCTTGCCACGCTTAAAAAAATCAAGGAAGCCTCAATTGCATTCTCAGGAAACGAGATCAATCCCGTGATTCACTGTGCCCCAAGTTTGTTCTTGGGAGGCAAATTAGCAAGACCAATCTTGCCAAAACCACAAGCGCGATCTTTGCATTTTCGGCATGGCGAAACACCCCAGTGCCAAGAATGCGAAGATCGACAGCAATGAAAGATGACGTCAAACGGGAACACGAGAACACAAGTACGGTCAAGAACGCATATTGAAAAACACCCCATGTCTGATTTAGCCACCATCCAGAAGAGATCCGAATGCCCGCCCACTAGCCAATTAGCCGTTAGCCAATTACATCAAACCTTCTAAACCTACCTAATGAAATGGCAACAAAAAAAAATGGCTGAGTAAAGGGAGAGGTAGAGTTTCATTGGCCAGCCCAACAGTGGGGCGGTCCTTACCGTGCAGACAAGCTGCCGACACCCAGTCTCTTGGCCACACCCTGAAGGGCCTTCACTGGGTTGACCCCTCCCTCACTGGCCTCTTTTCCTTTGCTCTTCTTGCTGCTCTTATTGGCTCTGCCCTTTGGCCCCTCCCCTCTGCAGTCGGAGGCGGGCAGCGAGCGGTACACCTCCAAAGCGGACCGGCCCTTCAGCTCCTGGTGGAAGCCCAGCACCTGCAGGTCATGGATCAGCTGGTCCGGTTCGATCGCCGGGCTGCGGTCCTGGCTGGGTGTGGCGGGCTGGTATCCCGGCTGCAGCATCTGGCAGCTGTCCGTGTAGATAAACTGCAGCACCTGCTCCAGCATGTCCGCCGGGATCTTGTCCAGCGCCAGAAGGTCGCAGCCTATGGCATCCTCGCTGCGCGTCACCCCCTCCACCTCCTCCCCCTGGCCCGGCTCCGGGTACAGAATACGCCGGAAGTAGTCGGAGCGGGAGGACAGGATATATTTGTGTGCCGGGAAGGTGCGGCTTCCGGCCTGCAGGGTGACGTCGTGGATGTTGTCCGTCTCTTCGGCCTCAGCCTGCAGGCTGCGGAGATGCTCGGGGAATGAGGAGGCGGAGACAGAGGGGACCTCGAACAGGCTGGGGGGGGGGGGGGGAAATCGGGGGGGGGGGGCATCAACGCAATGCTCACATCCTGCACACTTGCCATGAAGCCGGCATTTCTGGGAACAGCCAGCACCAAACCACTTACACTTACATTTTAATCATTCAGCAGATGATTTTATTCAAAGTGACACACATATTTGACAGCAAGCAGGATGAGGATCCCCGGAGCGATTAAGGGCCTTGCCCAGGGGCCCAACAGTGAAACCACACCGCCTATTCTGGGATTTGAACCAACATTCTAACCTGCTGAGCCACTCAGCCACCCCCTACCTCCAATCCCAACCCCAGTACCTTGTCTTAGGGTCCGACTGCAACACCGCAAAGTTGCGGCCCTTCATGTCCATGGTGATGCTGACGGCCCTGTGGGTAAACGGGATCCTCTCCAAGCGGATCCGCTCGTACGCCCCGCCGGCCTCGGACTGACCTGGCTCCGGCCCGCTTCCTGCCTCTGAACGACCGGAAAGAAGTAGGGTTTAGAGTCATGAAGTGATGAGGAGGTGCAGGATGCTTAGAGCCAGCAGGCGGACGCAGTCGAAACCTTTGCGATCCGCGTTCTTCTTGCGGTCTTGCTGCCAATGGCCATTGAAGCCCTCACCCTCCTGGGTGACGAACATCAGGTGGTCGTCGCTCAGCGCCATGTCCGCCACAAACACCTGCCGGCCGTACGCCCAGCGACACTGCTTCACGGAGCTGCTGGAAGATCTCCAGCAGAACACCTGACAGCGAGAGGGAGGGCGTCACAAGTGACGTGCCAAGGCTCACCCCGCAGTGCCGAGAGAGAGGTATCTACACATACCCTTCCTGCCTGATCCAGGGCAAGGATAGACACCTTTGCCCCACCCCCATCCATCAGCACCTGGGGGTCCACACGATGATCCAGGCTCCCCCCACTCACTAGGACCTTCTTGATGTTGAGCTGCCTGGGATGGAAAGAGGCAGAGGGGTGTGGTCAGACACTATGGGCAATCAGAAGGGGCTCTCCACACACACACAAAAGGACGGCATTCACACCTCACCTGGAAGCTAGCTTTTTGCACTGGTAGTCGGCGAGCAGGTAGACATCTCCCCTCTCGGTCACACACACGGTAGCCCCGGTGCTGGCCGCCAGCTTGCTGATGGTCACGTCCTTGTGATGCAGGGCAGATACCTGTCGAGGGGCCGTCACACACTTCTCCCCGTTAGGGTCGAGCAGGTAGCCTGCAGGTGGGGAGAAACGTTCCTAAGAAACCACCAGAATGGGTGGAAGCTGCTCCTTAATCGCAAGGCCAGGACCTGAAACGTAGCAGGACCTCCAAGCTCAAGGTGTCGGGTCTCACCCAGCTGGCCTCCGTTCAGCCCCATGGTGTAGACCGCCTCCCTGGTCCACAGGACGGTGTGGAACCTTCCCGCCGCCACGCCAACCACAGTCCTCCCCTTCAAAGCCTTGGAGAAGACCTGGAGGCCCATCAGTCAATCAGTACTGATTGCTCCGTACATCTGAAACTTAGACCTAACCATGTCAAAGAATCTGCATGACACAGGGCGCTGATCCCCAAACGGGGGGGTCTATGGGGCCTCACCTGTTTGGGCACATGGCTGGACGCCGGTGGGGGGGTCAGACCCAGCTGGTGAAAGGTGTTAAGGCCAAAGGTGTAGACATAGCCCTCCTCGGTCAAGACCACGGTATGATCCTTGGCGGCAGCAACTTGTGAGCAGTGGTGGGACAGGAGACCTTCCACTACCCGGGGCACCTGGGTAACGGCAGCCAGATGGAGGTGAGGCAGACCTCCCGCAGCACCGGAGAGGACCTACACCCAGCGCCAGATGGAGGACGCTCCTACCAGGTAAGTCTGCTCGTCACCGTGTCCCAGGCGGCCGCCCTGACCGTGTCCACAAGTGAACAGCTGTCCCTTCTGAGACAGGAACACGGAGTGGAACTTGCACAGCACCACCTGGGGGGTACAAGTCGGGCACTGTGAGATCCATCATCTGGACCACTAAACTCATGAAAGAGGAAGGTCTGAGCTGGAGGACAAAGCAGGGGGAGATATGAGACACACTGACCACGGACACGTCGCCCCCGCCAGGGGCTGATGTCATACTGCAGCTGACAGAAAACAGTGCATGTGTGTGTGTGTGTCACTGTCCTCTCTCTCTCTCTCTCTCTCTCTCTCTCTCTCACTCTCTCTCTGAGTGAGTACGGTATCACAGGATGTTCCTTCTCCTCATAATCATCTCTTCCACAAGCACCAGACCATGCTCTTTAACATCTGGCACAGACACCCCTCGTGGAAGGAGGCCATCAGCCCCACCCCTACGGGCCAGGGGACACCATGTGACACCGCTGCCACACGTAGGCCAGAACAGGAATTACACTCTTCAGCTTGCCAGGAACACAAACACTCTATGTACCACAGTGGGGAGGGAGGGAGAGAATAATGGGGAAGCTGCTGGCAGAAGGGGCAGGCATGTGACCAGTTACCCCCCCTCCCCCCCGTGGCCCCTCCCAATCACCAAATGCCCAAAAGGAGAGCAACTGAGACAATGAACCTCTATGCACAGCTGTCCAGGGCTAGACTGTCTATGGCTCTAGCACAGACTATAAATGGCCTGCTATCAGCACCAATGCCAACCAACTCCCATCAATCCAGATTCCACAGGCCAGTGCCAATCACCCTCAGCCTGTGCCCTCATCCCAGTACCACAGAAATCATGGTCCTGCTATGCACACCCAGTTCTTTGGGCCTCTTCTGTGCAAGACCCAACCCAACAGCCCCATTTTAAGACGTTGAGAGACTGGGAGAATGACTGCCCACCTGTTTGATGTAAACTCCAGTCCGGGCGAAGAGGTCTATGATCTCAGGATGATTACGGCTCTCTTGGTTACCGTGTCCAAGACTGAAGTTAGTGTTGCTCCCCCACGTGTAAACCTCCGTGGGGTCTGTTCAGAGAGACAGGCCTGCTTAGAACAGCTCTGCATTTCCAAAATAACATCAACACCTTCTGCTTACACCCCGTTCAACAACTACTAACACCTTAGTGTTCCTAACGCTCATGGCAGTTTTATTTGCACAGAAATGTTCTGAGGGCAGAATGGAAAATGATTGGTTCTATCTCTGAACCAATCAGATTGTAGAGGAGGTGGGTCCAAGCAACTCGAAGAGGAGGGACCATGACATCTTATTGGCTGGTCTCACCTCCTCAAGTTGCTTGGACCCACCTCCTCTACAATCTGATTGGTTCTTTCTCTGAATCAATCATTTTCCATTCTGCCCTCAGAACATTTCTGTGTAAGTAAAACTCCCAAGAGCTTTCCGAACAGGAGTTAAACAAATCAAGGATGAATCCGGGGAAGCTCCGCACCATTCCACTCTGCAGATGCCAATCCCAAAACACAAGTGAGTGCTAACTAGAGAGGCCTTAACACGAGCAGAGTCTTGCTGTCCTGGATTTCCAGCCAGAAAAAAACTTTTACAATGCCCCATCAGCAGTAAAGGGACAGTGAACTGCAACAGGACCTGAAGTCAAAGTTCTCCTCACCAGTACTCCTGAAGACCACATGCTGGGGCCTGTCCTTCATGGTCAGGTCCAGGACGGAGAGCCCTTCCTTGTCCAGGGTGGTGAGAAGGCCACCATGCTGGGTGGGAGACAGGAAACGTCGGCATCAGTGATCGAATGGACTAAAGCAACCTGATGCTGGTGTGTCGAGTCTGAACCAACGATGGTTTGGTACCAATAAAGATGAACAGTTTGAGGCAGACCTTGAATGTGGATTAACCAATGAGAAGCAAGCACACAAGCAGAGAGCAACTGTATAACCAATAAGCACACACCACGCGCAGCCGGTACCTTGACCAGTGCCAGCAGACAATGGATGTGCCCGTAGAAGGTGCTGCGGTGCAGGGCAGTCCACCCTGACTCCTTGTCCTTTACCAGCAGGTCAGCACCTTTGTTCTGCAGCAACCACTCCACCAGGGGGCGCCGTCCCAGCGAGGCAGCCATGTGCAGGGCGGTGCGGCCGAAGGCGTCTCGCAGGGTGGCCGCGTTGTGGCAGTGGGCCGACAGAAAGGCCCGCAGACGTCCCTCTGAGTCCGCTGCCGTCAGCGCCGCCATCACCTCAGCCGCGTGCTGCGCAGACCGGCACCGCGGCGTACAGTCCGAAGGGGGGGGGCTCATCCTGACCGCCGGAACCGTGCCCACACAGACACGACCCCCGCAAAAGCGGACACGACCGAACGCGGTCGCACTGGAACGTGTAGGGAACCAGAGGCTGATATCTCCTGGATGGCAGATAGGGGGCGCTAGCACAGTGCTTGTGTCAAGGATCCACCGCACGCTAGCAGCCACGAAACAGCCTCACCTCACCGCACACGCGTGACGACCTGCTCCGCACACACTCGCCGTCCACATAAATACATACAAAACTGTACAAATATAGACTCTCTCCGTTGGCAAAAATAGACTTTTCTCTTATATAAACAGTTCCATAGAAAATGTAACGACTCCTTCCTCCTTATTGCTGCCGTCTCCTGAGCCCCCACCCTGGGGAAGGGAAGACTCCACCTCCCCCAAACGCTGACAACCTTCAGGCCTCCATAATTGTATGTCGAACCTGGGTAGAAATTGAGGGGGGGGGGGGGGGCACAGGATGTCTTTAGCAGGTACAGATACTGTGGTATAAAAGCATCAAGGAATTAAGTCAGTTTCCATCTACAGTGTGTAACTAGGATGTGTACATATAAAAACTGTATTTAAGAATATATATATATATATATATATATCTGTATCTGTGAACACTGAATGACTGGAATAAACAAATAAGGCAAAGCTTTACTCCGGAGGCCCCTTTACCAAGAAATCTGATGTAATTCAGGGAACCTGGCGACACCCATTCTGCCTATAGCTCCAGCAGGCATTGGAAATAATACTGAACCTGCTTAGGCTTCCAACCCTGCATTATGGATCAAAGAAATTCAGTTCGGCATTCAACAATTACAATAATAATAAATTCAATAAATTCATAAATAATCTTTTGGCACCAACCCCACCCCACTCACTCCAGAACTTAGCAGTCTGTGTTCGATGAAGTGGCAGTCCCAGTTTACAAGGAGAGGGTCAATGACAATAAGTGTGGGGGGGGGGGGGGCTTGCTGGTCTGCAGTGCTGTGAAATGACACTGCAAACTCAGCTGCTACTTTCAGGGCCCGGAAAAGTGCATTTTCACTAGAGCCATTATGAAGACACGGGGCAGCTCTTACAAAGCAGCAAACAGACTCCAGATGCTACACGCAGAACAGCACAGGCGATCCGCTTCATCCCCACTGGACCGAATAACTCCAAAACAAGAAGTCCCTTATCTAAATAGTTCTCATAACGTACACTTAAAATTAAATGGCTTTTATGTTTAACGCTCTTAAAGAGTTTTCTGGCTCCTCCCTCACTCATGTCTGTGCGTTGGCATGAAAAAATACCAAACCCAAGACAGTCGGTTTAAAACAGGACAGGAAATGTACCCATGTTGCATATAGATGTCCTCCGGTGATGAAAGACACCTTACCCAGAAACAGTCATCCTTTGCAACTTTTACTAAACCGTGCTGCATAGTGCTGCACCCACGATCAACCCCCAACAACCTCAATCCCCATTTGGGTACTTTATTACAATCCACAACACCGGTGCTGTGTTGACCACCAGCAATCAGATACCTGCGGTTATCAGTTTACCAGTCCGGCTGATGACCTGTAATTAGGCTGTGACACTTTTAATGCTGATATGTGTCCGGGGTGTCAAAGCCCGATTTAAACTTACGCCCAGGTAAGTTACTCCAAATCCTTGGCAAGAAAGTGACACGGGGACCGCAGCGTATATGTCAACGCCGATCGGCCTGACGGATAAGGGTACCGACCGGCCGGAGCCGTCTCTGTATGTCCGGCCCACAAACCCCTCTCACCTGCCGCTAGATGAAGCTGAAAACGGGGGTTCGGCGGGCCTCAGCGACACAGATCCAAGGGCTCATGGTGCAGAAGAAAGCAGATCTAACAGGAGGACTGCGGGAGGTATACGGCCAAGGAGAGGGGACACGAAGGCGCAGGGTTGGCTGGAGACGACGGCCGTAAGTCGTGTCAGACTGTCGCAAACGCCGCATATACCCTTAAATGGGTTCCCCACTTTTACGGCGATCGGCGTCGTAAACCGCCCTGTCAAAAGCAATCGGTCGGCGTTCACAGACTACGCGACCGAGAACGACAGTGAGATATGAGCAGAGGTCTTATATTAGCTGCCGCCCCTGACCATGTGTAGTGAGCAGATAATATGTGCTCACGCACCCTGGCACTCATACAGTACCCAGTGAGTCATTCTGTCAGGCCACCAGAACAAGTTCAGCATAAAATGGCCACATTCTTACCACCACAACACTACCCTTCACTCTTTTTTTAACATACTAAGATATTTACTAGAATAACCATGCGCAGGCTTGCTGTGCAGAAGCACAACTTCAGCTTCTAGGATCTCAGCCCCTAAACTTTAGGTCTCATATTTCATAACTAAATACCTCCACTGTTTACGACACTGCAGCTTTTAATTACACATAGGCATACTTTAAGGTTAACAGTAGGTGCTTACTTCTTGGGGGGAAACTAAACAGTAATATCGAGATACTCTGAAATTTTATGATAGTAATATTCTACGATTATAGCATGTGCAGTAGAACTAAACTGAAAGTTAGGATTTATTTTACAAAAACAGCACTGCGATCTTGTAGTGAAATTATTTTTTCGCTATTTTTAACTATAGTTTTATTTCTTAGACGCTGTTTCGTGTAATTAACAGCTTGTTCTGTAATTATTTTTTATGGCACTAGGTGGCCTAAGAGGACTGAGGTTTGCTTTTGATTCATCACAGCGAAGTCCCCAATTTTATTGCTATACTTATCAAAACCTTTCATCCTCCAAAGACACTAACGGGCGATGCGATAACAAATGGTTGATTTTGTTAGTCAAAAATAGTCTTGTGGTGTTATCTTTGTAAGATATACTTTTAGGTTTTGTATGGTCTGGGGGCTCTGGAGCTATAATCCCAGGCAGCGTGGGTCCAATTTCTGTTCATTGGAAATCATTTTTGTAGTGAAGTTGAAGCCCTTTATATTAGCTTCAAAACTGTCAGATGGGTCGATGAATAAGTTACCTTCGAAGTACATCTAGTCTTAAATACCATGCAGGCTGCGACTCTTCTCAGAACGATAGACACATTCGCATTTTCATGTCTTAACATATTATGATAATACTTATGTAAATATAAATAATTTATTTATGGGTTAATATTAGTATTTTTCATTTAGGTATTTCTTTAGCTATATGTGAATGAGGCAGTCCGTTGCGCGCATATGTGATGTTTTAACTGCATAATTTACATCTTCCTCAAAGTCATTCTCTACGAGAGTATGTCTCCGGTCAAATGCTTTCCGGAGTTTTCTTCAATGTCCGAGGCTGGATGTAGGCTTATTAAGTTTATTGGGATTCGTATTTTTTTCATATACTTTTTTGTAGTAAATCGTCACCACGCCTTTCCAGATCTTCGTAAAATTATTGTATTTTCTCCGATTTACATATTATAGCCAGCTGAGTTCGGAGTGGTGAGGATATTTTGCGCTGCTCGGTCAGCACAGTTACAAGTAGTGAAGTGGAGAGTGAAGGGCAGACAACGGCAGAGCCAAACGAACTTGGGTGAGGGTGAAGACTACCTCAAACCCTCTTCTCTTTCCATTGGGGCTCTTTGTAAATCTTGAGTCAGACATTTAGGATAAAATGGCTTTTTGCTTTAAAAAGGTTGCTGACATCTGATCTATGCTTAGTTATATGTCTAAGTAACATGTATTATTTAGCAGATCAACGTGCCGATCTGTTGTTGGGATTGAATTTTTCTTAAGTGATGAATGACATTTGGACACTCTTTGTTGTTGTTTATTGTTGGCAATAAATAATTAATTAAAAATAATTGCATACATTTGCAAAATGCAATCATGCCTTGCCAACTTAAAATCCCTTAATGGTAAATGTTGAATAAATTCATGATTTAATTTGCGATTAATTTGTGTGCGTACTGTAGGTGTAATTTAGGGACTAGCCATGTCCAAGACCTGTGATAGCCTAGTCACATGACTGTGTCTCATTCCTCTCCTGCCTGGTTTTTTGAGGTTCCTGGAATTTGTCCTGTGCATATTTACTCGTCATTAATCAATTAATATTACCAATTAGCATGTCATTAGAATCTAATCTAAATTCATGAGTACTAGGACTTCTGCTGCTGGGCATCGTGGTGGTGGTTGGGGGGGGGAGGCGTAGGATAGTTGTGTTAGGCTGTATTGTGACTAAACTGTCTGCGAATCCTGTTAAAAAGCACAGCACCTTGTCAACGTTCATCCGAAGGTGGACTGCAGAGGTTAAAAAGTCAGGGTTGAATCATCAAGTCCTACCAGGCCTGTAGGATCTGGTGCCCCAGCAGACCACCGATTAAATTCATTATGATTAGCATAAAAAAAAAGAAAAATATCACCTGGTGCTTGCATCTGTGAGTTACTAACTGGGCCAGTTTCCAGTCAACAGTTGTTGTTTCCAGGCAAAAGCCAGGCGATGTAATTTTCCATCCAAATGATGTTTTGGATGTATCCATAAAGGTGACGACCATAGGGCTGTCCTAGGCTCCCATTTGGGTACCTAAAATATGCGTAAGCTGGGATATTTGTGTTAGGTGTGGTGTTTTGGTTAGGGCTGCAGTGTCAGGTTGAAAGAGGCTTTAGGGAAATAAAGTACATCATTACAGATGGCTGCCTGTGATTTTAGCTTCATCATATATCCCTGTGAAACCCATAAGCTGGAGAGAATTAGGCTTGATGAAAAAAACAGGTACCATGTTGATTTGTGATCCGCAACTAGAAGGTTGATGTGCGGCAAAGTCCTTTCAGGTCTCTGAGGAGTTGCTGAAAAGCAATTTACACCACATTTTTATTAAATATGGTGGTGTATGAATGGGTGTTTTTGTCTGTTAATTTTTTTACAATACAGTAGTTGTACCGACCATTGCTCACTGGGGGCGCTAATTTCACCTTCATATAAATGAAATGAAAGTAGGACTATTACATACTGGAGTTCAGGTAACTTGGTCAAATACCGCAAAGATCTGAAGATGTCTGTGTTTTGCGTACGAATTTGATTTTAATACTAAATATTCGGAATTGCATTGCCTACACTCGATAGCCTACTATACAGTCCTCGTAATTAAGCGAAACTGGCCTATAATCAATCTAAAACCGTCAATTATATTGAGGACAGTATCTTAATCATAAGCTGCAGAGAACAATTTAACGCATTTTTGTATTTTATTTTGTATTTTTTTGTATTTTGTAGTTTACACGTGTTACATATGTTACTTCGATGTTAAAACACTTAAATAATGACATGTGGAACTATATTCCACATGAAACATCTGGCCAGATTCAATCCAGAATCAAAACTTTGAATAAGTTCTCATAACCAATTTTAATACACGCTAATTAAAACATGATCGGCGTTTACTATTCCATGAAGCCAGTTTTTTTCCATTCGGTTTGGGATATTTTCTGGATAAAATCGCACTTTAAAAAGTTATGTGGTGGGTGGTTAGACAGTTGCGAGCGGGCGGTCCGAAACCCCGCCGCCCTCCGCTGATGGTACATTCCTGGCACCGCTCCGTTTTACGGTTGACTCTCTGGAAAGACTGCCCCACGCCCCCACCCCCTTTTCCTAAAACGAGAAGGAATGTACAAAGGGAAGGGGACCCTGGAGCAGCTGTAAACGCAGGTTTGCTTTAATGAAGCGCTGCGCTCGGAGCATCCGTTCGGCTTAAAGCGCATGTAACGCCTGAAAAACGCCGAGATCTTACAGTTTAATTTTGGATTTGACTATTTAGCTGTGAAGTCAACGCAACAGGAGAATACTGAAACAACAGCTTTACTTATTCATTTTATTTTAAAAATTAGTAAACAACAAAGAACAGTAACACCGGCATGCGCGTAATGTAAACTTTCTTCCTCTATATTTCGTTAATGTGTTAATGAGCCGAAATCTGTGCATGAAGTCTTGCTTCATTTTCTCGTGTGTTATCTCTGGCGTGATCGGAGTTATGCGAAGCTTCCAGCGCAAAGGCATTTGAACCTGGGCCAGCATAATTTACCAACTTTCTGACGACCGTGGAGAAGGGATCTCAGAGAGCTCAAGAAAATGCGTGTTTCTGGCACCCGGCTTTTATCAGATCGGAGACATGTAATTACACAGAAGCTATGCTTGGTGTTTTTCCTCAAGATACTTGCTCCAGCTTTGTGTCAGGCTTGCCCGGACCCATGCCAGTGTAACGAGACAGCTGTACGGTGCGAAAATCTAGGCTTATTCGCCCTCCCGCAAGCATTTCCGAGTGACGTCAAGTACATTTTCGTAACTGGGAACAACATCACCGATCTTACCAACGAGTCCTTTCCAGTCATCCTGGAGCAGTTGACCAAACTGCTCCTCCCCGGGAATAATATCCAGCAGATTGGTCGAGAAGCGTTTGGTAACTTGCCAAACATTAACTTCCTGGATCTGAGCAACAACACACTTAGAATTTTCAACACGGACGTTTTATTCTCAAAGAAACTGATACCGCATCCTAGCTCAAATAGGTCTGTTTACAGTAGCCCTCAAATTGATGGAAGTAACACATGGCAAGTAGTAGCCGTTCAGGTGTCTACTCTGAATCTTTCCAACAACAATCTGTTTTTTCTGGATATGACACTCCTCAGCCTGGCCAGTCTCCGTCTGCTGGACCTGAGGTCCAACGCTCTGAGAGTGCTCCACAACAGCACACTGACAGCCTTCAGCCAGCCCCCTGACCTCCAGGTCCTCTTGGCCGGTAACCCCTGGCTCTGTGACTGCAACATCGAGGACTTTCTCTCTTGGCTCAGGGAGTCCGACAGGGTGCCTGATAAGTTTAACCTGTCCTGCTTGTCCCCTATGGAGCTGCAGGACGTCACCTTGCTGCAGATCAACCGATCAGAGCTGCAGTGTGTTTTCTCCAGCGGTATGAAGGGCGTACTGGAGACATCCTACGTGTTCCTGGGTGTGGTGCTGGCCTTCATCGGCCTGATCTTCTTGCTGGTCCTCTACCTCAACAGGAAGGGGATCAAACGTTGGCTTTATAACATCCGAGACGCATGCAGGGACCACATGGAGGGATATCACTACCGCTTCGAGGCCAGCCCTGATCCCCGGTTGGCCCAGCTCGGCATGAACTCAGAAGCATGAAGGTGCAGGTGGTCAGGGTCTGGTCCTAGATATGCATGCCACCCTCCAGGCCCACCTCTTCCCCCCAAATTCGGTGTTTTGTCATATCGACTGATGTACTATATTTGTGTTGTGCAGTGTTGCATGGATTGAACAGGACAGGTGTGGATCCTGTAAAGTGCTGAGCCCCAAGACTCCCTCAGCATTATACAGTATGTTGCTCATGGGACTGACTTTTATATGTTTATTTGTATATGTAGCCTGATTATTAGTTAGGGTAACTGCTGCACCCATTGTTCTTGAAGATGTCCTGGACCAGCAATTCCTTTGTCAGACGTGAGCGTGACATCCACGTGCTCGTCTTACCCTTGCGGGATTTTAATGTGGTGTACCTTGTTGTACAACGAAGTCTTTTTCCAGCTCTTTCCTCCTGAAGATGTTCTATTGAATAAAATGTCCTTCACAGCAGCTGTGGTCAGTTGATCTAACTGACGGTCTGAAGTGGAACTGTGGGGGTCGCACGCATGTACAAAATGACACACTTCCTGCATTCTCCTCAGTAAAGACATGCACAGATCACACATACACACGACATTGCTGTACAATACCAAGCTGGCCTGCATGGAATGTAGCAGAAGGTCATGGTAACAAAGTCATTATCACAAATACAGTGTAGAAGTTCATAGAGGAAAAGGTAGTGATTATCTCAAATGGAATATATCAGAAGTTCATGGTAAGAAAGGTAGTGATTATCCCTCGTCAATGCGTAAGTTTTCAGGGTTGCAAGAAATGGTATCATTTTCATATTTGTGTATAAGTGTTACTGACAGCTGGCAAGTGTCTGCAAGTCAAAATGCATTAGTTTGCCTCGACATTAAAATCTGCTTTTATAATACTTCGCTAATTTCAAGCCTCTCCTAACAGCTACAGAGAAAGCAGCAGGGGGCACTAAGCCTGCAGGGGCTGGCCAATAGGATCCCAAACAGTGTTAGTCCATGGCCACATGTTGGTGAACTGAAAACTCAGGCCTTTCCAGGGTGGTCCTGAGTGGGGTGAATACACATGTCCGTCAGCCGATTCATTGTGTGGGGGTGGTCATCAGCACAATTACACTCAGAAGAGGACCCGGCTAGCCCACCTACCGGCCCACCCACCACTGTCTTACGGTAATGATCTCCTCAGCGCTAAAACCAGAGGAGCAGAATTGAGACATGTGCAGCTCATCAGTTGCATGCAGTGTCATCCGTCACTTAACTAAGTGCCATCGGAAAAGAGGTGAGATCCCAAAACACACAGATTACCAACACGGGGAGCCCTAACCCCTTCAATGAGGGAGGTGGAATCACGTTCTGGAGATCCACCAGCGTGGTTGTGGGTTGTGAAGAGCAATGAGAGCCTTTATAGTGCCTGATGCTGGCTTACAGTCTCACCTGGGAAAAGCAACGTTTTTGTTGTTGCCAACCCAAATAATCCAAATGCCCACCCAAACTTGACATCCTAGTAACACCCCTGAGGCTGGCTCCTCTGTATGAATTATGGCCCCCCCCCCCCATAAAAAAATCCTAAAATCACCCCTGCTGCATATGCACAGCTTTCCAAAAGTCTCTATCACGTGATCTTGGTCAGTAGATGAGATGGGGACCACACAGTACACGGCAATTTCACAAGCATGGGGATGAAGAGATGAAGGCCACGTTGAACTGGATTTTCCCGGAAAGAGGGGATGTATCAGATGCAAGGTCATTTTACATCTTCATTATGATTATAAAATGTCTGTAGGTACAGTAGCCTCTTCATGAGGAGCTGCTGGAAGTACAGCGATACAACAGCATCCGATAACCCCCCTCCCACAGCTTGACCACTGGAGGCTTTTCAGAAGGCATCTCAGTCAAGGTCAACGAGCGGTTTTCTGACTGTTCCACAGTGACCTGCGGCCTTCCCAGAACACACTGTATGAGTATGCTCTCCTGACGAAAAGGACCAACCTTCCTCACAGGAGGAATCCAACTCGGCCTTGATAGAAGCGTGGGTTGTTATGCTGGGGGAAATCTCAACTGGGCTGAGAACGGGCCTTCACACCCAGGCCATCAGTCTACCCTAATCCTAACCCTAACCCTAACCCTGACTCCTCACAGAATCAGAGATGTTCTCACTGTCTAAGAGAGTGCTCACTCAGTCTCCGCTTCTGTGTCCGGCCTGATCTGCAGTCTACTTCTGTGATAAAGGCTGAACGTTGTTAGTTATCCCGGCAGTACACAGGACAGCTCTCTTTGGCAAATGAGAGGGTATCTGGTGCTTTGCTCATGAAAACACACATCCGTTGTTTTGGAAACGGCTCCTGTCCGCCCCCTGTAGTTACACATGAGGTCTGGTTTTCCGACTTTGTGCCAAAGCTTGAAAAATACGACCCGGGGTCCAGGATCCTGTTCAGCAGAGGGTCGTGGGTGCGGGGACGCGGTGACACGGCCGGACGACGTGACACTCGCCTGCCTCTTGTCTCTATGGTAACGGTGCTGCCGCCCTTGCGCAGTACGGCCCTTTATTAATGCCCGTGCTCTGCCCGCATCGGGCCGGCCTCGCGGGGCAGGTGTAATTAGGTCTGGCGGACAGACAGGAGGATATCAATGCGGGGGTAGCTCTGGCAACCCTGGACTGCAGCAGCCGAGCTTCTTTGCCCATTAAGAGCGGCCCCTGGACATTTCCGAGATGGAGGAGCAGTTTATAAAGCCAGGCTGCCGTTCCAGCCAAGATGCGGGCTGCCATACTGGACGCCATCCTCCCATAACCGCCACTTTGCTACGGTGTCTCTCCGCCTCCACCAGGGGGCACTTCCTGTGGATGGGGACATCCCCCCTGGGTGTGGCTTCAGGCTCCGCCCACCCAGGCCACTACTAGACATCCAGGGGTTTGTGGAATGAGCTATTAGATCTCTACTGGTTTGCAGAAAGCCATACTGGTGTTTGTATAGCGCAGAGAGACCTCTACTGGTTTTTGCAGAGCAGGGTCACTCTTACTCTGCGGAGTATGGTCTCTTCATACTGGTTTTTACAGAGTACGGTCATTCATACTAGTTTTGGAGACTACAGTCACTTCATGCTGACTGTTTTGCAGAGTATGGTCAATTCATACCGGTTTGTGCAGAGTACGGCCACTCTCTTCTGGTTTGTACAGGGTACCGTCTCTCCATACTGGTTTGTGCAGAGTCTGGTTGGACTTCCTGGGATGTCTGTAGTCTGTCTTTCAGTCGTGGTTGTCTTGTGGTTGAAGCTGTGACTGCAGTCTGCCGCGTGTGTCTGTGTGTGTGTGTCTGTGTGTGTGTGTGTGTCTGTGTGTCTGTGTGTGTGTGTGTGTGTGTGTGCTCCTGCCCAATCCCCTCAGCCTCGCGGTGTGCTATCTGCCCCGCGGGCGCCACTCTGCTGTTGATCTTCATTCTCCTCATTAGACGCCTCCTAATTTGGATTTATTGTGCTGCTCATTAGTGCTTCGCTGCTCTCCTCAGAGCCACGCCGCCCTTTATTAAAAACCTCTCTGCTAAATGAAGACGGATAGGGCCACCCGCCGCCACAGCAGCCGCGCTGCCCGGCTCGACACGACCGCAGGACGCCCGCCCTGAGTGCAGCCGAGGAGGACGAGAGGGCAGGGCACGGGGGCACTTCCACCGGCCAATAAGATTCGATATGAAAGCAGCAAAGACCAGCTGCGGATGATAAACACTCTGATAAAATCAGTGGTGGAAAGGCTAGATTCTAGGGAAGCAAAAGAGGGAGCATAATTCATACAGAGAGGTCAACCTTATCATTAACCAATGATATGTTTTCAATCAGTGAATAATAGGGAAGCGGCACTCTGTGGGCCAATCAGCTTTCAGCTCGGGGCATGGTCCCCTGTGAGTCCACCCATTTAAACGCCCCCTGGTTTCCTGTGCTGCTACTCCAAGATGCAGACAGACCCAATCATATCGATTGCAGGCGAAGGCAGGCTCACTTAGGGTCTGCATGATTATTTAATGATGCTTGTGACAAGCAAGCGATGTCCGTGTTCGAGCACGAGCCGCGGCCGGATCTGAAGTCGGATAACATTTTATCCAAGGAAAATGATGAAGTGAACTTCTGTAGCCGTAGGGTTAATGAGAAGTGCATGCTGGGATATCAGCGTGTTTCTCACACTAGTGGCAGAAACATGCGGATTGGGTGGTGTGGGTGTGAGGGTGGTGCACTGGAAGCAGTGGGGGCTGCTTCTTGGCGCAGTTTGTGAAGGGCTGTCAAGGGGCAGGTCAGCGGAAGGGTGAACCGGAAACCTGAACAATTAATGGGGATGGTGGATGGGGCTGTGGCTCAGACCCAATGAGAGGTGGAAAGAAAAGGAGAGGGTGGAAAGTGAAGGGGAGGCTGAGGCAGGAAAGGTGGAGATGAGGATGGAGAGAGGAGGATGGAGAGGGAACGTGCATCGCTGCCAGGTAATGGCCTCACAGAGGAACGATTTAACGGCAAGACTGAAGCGGGGCTCAAGGCCGCCACCTCGTTTGTGTTTCTCCTAATGACATGCAGACCTGCAGGAGGCGCGTTTACAGCCAGCCCATGTCTCTTTCCTCGGCCATCCTTAAATACCTTCTGTAGCCATCTCTGTGTCCTGCCCATGCCAGAATCTGCTAGTGAAACAGTTGCATTTGATTCCCCCCCCCCCAGAGCTGATCCTGGGGTTAGGTGATGCCCCATGAAGAGACCCCCCCCCCTCACAGAATGCTCTGACTCTCCCCCAGAGCTCGTACCTCATATTGAAATGAGATGATGATGCTTTATTTGCCATTTGTATGAGTACAGCTACATGGAAATGCTGTTTTTCGCATATCCTATCTTGCTCTCTGAGACATACATGCACAAGTGACAGCTTGGGGCATTTTTTTTGGTTTAGGGGCCCTGCTCAAGGGCCCAATGGCAATTCTGGTGAGCATGAAATTCAGACCGGCAACCTTCCAATCACAGACACAAGCCTAACCTCCTGAGCCAGACAGCTGTGTGTGTGGAGGTGTGATCCACGTTGGTACTTTGCCCAGGGTGTCCTGTTCCCATGAGTGTGATCTCTATTAGCGTCTGCCATGTAGAGATCTAACAGCTCATTCCACTGCCATACTGAGGAATGTGACATAGGATGAGAAGATGTAGCTCAACGAGTTAGGACATCATGCCTGTGATCAAAACACTGCTGTTTCAGAACCCAGAGTCGGCAGTGATTTCACTGTTGGACCCTTGAGCAATGCCCCTAACCCCCAATCCCTCCATGGACAGTCTGACGTTAAATGCACGTTTTGAATAAAAGTTGAATAAATGAAAATAACATATTCAAAATGAAGTGAAACTTCAGTGGAAAGTAAAATTATCATTCGGACAGTGTTGGAATGACACTCCTAATAGAGCTAGGTCAACATCTGGAGCAATTAAGCACTCTTCAGTTCCAGGCCATGTACGAGC